AGAATAAGACACTTCTTTTCATGCCTTTATGACTTGAGCAAGTAAGCCTGCAAGGATATTGCAAAACCTGGTGCCCTTAGGTCCACTGGCCTGGGAGTCACCTGCCTAAAACTTGCTAAAGGGGTCATATAGAAAGTAAGAGGAAAAGAAGTTAATGAAAAGTCATCTGATTGAGCCTTTATAATTTGAGTGAATAAGCCTGCAAGGGTTTAAAACCTGATGCCCTAAAGCCAACTGGTTTGGGAGTCACCGGCCTAAAGCTCGTTATATGGGTTATATAAAGAGCAAATGAGAAGATGATAAAAAAAACAATGGAAAGTGAGAAAAACAAAAGAGAGACAATAACATGAAGAAAAGCCCTTAGACATTTGGTTGAGGAAACTATACCTTTGAAGTGAGGCAAGTAACCTATTTTAATCTTGAGTGTCGAAGCAATCAAATTTGGGAGAGCCTTCACTTGTTGAAATGTAAACTTGTGATAGTGAGATTAATCCAAACTACGAGAAGGTGAGGACTACAGCTATGTAAACTCCTAATTTTAAAACACAACTCCGGGTTAATTGAGTGAAAAAAATAAGTTTGGGGGGTTGTGTATCTCACGAGCGAGTAAGGATACATTTGACCACTTGGGGTCGGGACTCAACCCATCATGAATTGATATGTTGGCATGAATTTATACACACACGTCAAGTATGCATTTAACAGGAAAATGTTGATGTCATTTTTGCACTGATAAATTTTCATAAAGTAAAATACCTAGTCCAACCCTGAGCCATGACAGGGTATTAAGCCATGTTTGTTCAGAATTAAGTCACTATCTTGTTTGAGGACAAACAATAGTTCAAGTTTGGGGTTTGATAAGTGTGTTTTTGCACACTTATTTAGATCACAAACATGACTTAATTACGAGCAAAATGTTTAAATTTTGATTTAATCTCGTTCAATTCATGCAATGTAGGTGTTTCTATGGAAATGGTAGAACTTAGGAGAAACGAGTCGAAAAAGGACTAAAATGGAGCAAAGTGATAGTTCAGGGACTAAGGATGCAAATATTGAAAAGTTGTACTAAAAGGCAACCTGGGGATGCAAACCCTGCGGTCTTCTTCCTTTCAACTTTATCTTGCTGGCAAAGTTAGACAAGTTTTGGTGTACTCTATTGTATCGTCTTTTATTTCTGGCCAATATGCTAAGTATGAACTCGAAAGCAATACAAGATGACTGGAAGAAGAAGGAATTTCAAAGGGACTAAAATGAAGAAAAATGAAAGTTCAAGGACCAAAATAGACATTTTGCATAATTGGCAGCACTATGCGACGCATAGTGCTACCCTCTATGTGGTCGCATAGAGGCCTTCCGAGAATTTTTTTCTTACTCTATACGACTGCATAGAAATGTACTATGCGGTCGCATAGAACAAGTTCTGGGGCCGATTCGCAGTTTCCTTATACTACTGAAATTCTTTTGGTAATCTAATTTTCACGCGATATAAATACCAAAAGAC